CCTCTGCGTGGAACACGTCCAGATTCACACACTTCTTCCAATCCTCTTTGCCAGTGGGATTTGGCCCTTGGGGTCTGAACCTGTGTCCTTCGGGACATCCGTTAAAATTGGAATGATACAGAGAAGGGTAATTAGCAAATGGCCCCTGCGCAAGGATGACACACATAAATCGAGAAATGGTCCAAATTAAAAAAAAAAAAAAAAAAAAAAAGGGTTCTGAGCCCGACCCTTAGCCGTACACTCCCCTGAAGCAACCCAAAAAAATGGAGAGTGCCTCAAAGTCCAATAAACACCAAGTCTGAAATAATAAAAGGCCCCGTTACGTCTTGATCCTACCTACTTCTCCCGCAACATGGTTTATTCCTCCACCCTGAGCGCATCCGTTGTCAGCCACCGGGTCGTTAAACCACCAGTACTTGGCCCAGCTATCGATGCTGAGCCTGAAAACGGGCTGCACGCAGTTTCGCGCCGACCCGCCAGCGCAACAGAAATAACTTGTTTTGGCTGGCGGCGCCAGCCTTTGAGGGCCGGTACGCCGAGCCTCTGGAAGTTGCAGGGCGTTAACGGCAACGCCCCGCGGCCGATGTATGGGCCAAGTACTGGTGGTTTAACACAGGCCCCAAAACACACTGCAATAGTTCCCTCCCTCCCTGTTAATAAGTCATGTCTTTATGAAATTCCCATCGATTGCTCAGAGCATATATGCACTCAGCTTCTTAATGACACTTCATTCGCCCTCCAATGCAAAGGCGGGGGGGGCTGCAACTCCTTTGATTCCTACAACTTCATTCTTTTGCACTTCCAAGACCCGAGTGTGCTGATGATGATCAAAACATCCCTCAGTGAACAGGTCATCCAGCTTGAGCAGATGGAGAAGAAGGGCTGTACGGGTGAAGTGTTGCTTCGCCCGATCTTCTGATGTAGTTGATCTGTGATATGTAAACTCCAGCTACATTATTATAATTTTAAGTTATCTCATCCCTCAGTGAACAGGTCATCCAGAAGAGGATGAAGAAAGTAACTGGATAGCGGAATCCCGCCGTGGGACAACAAAAGACATGAGCGTGTGTGTTGCTGTGCRAATGGCAGACACCTTAACCGCCGTAAGATTGCCAGCTGAGGCTAGCAGGTGGAAATGAAGTACGCGCTGTGGGACAACAAAAGACATGAGCGTGTGTGTTGCTGTGCAAATGGCAGACACCTTAACCGCCGTAAGATTGCCAGCTGAGGCTAGCAGGTGGAAATGAAGTACGCGCTGTGGGACAACAAAAGACATGAGCGTGTGTGTTGCTGTGCAAATGGCAGACACCTTAACCGCCGTAAGATTGCCAGCTGAGGCTAACAGGTGGAAATGAAGTACGCGCTTTCTCTTTTCAGGGCAAGTTGTGATGTCACTGAAGTCTCAAACTTTTTTTTTTTTTTTTTTTTTTTTTTGAAGTCTCAACTTTCTACTACTTGGTAGTCCAAACTGTTTTTTTTTTTTCCAGCTTAAGCCTTGAAACCAAAATGAAGACAAAGCTCTTTCTGCCTGAAGCGACTTCGCCATCATGGCTCCGCTGCTTGCACGTAGCATGGCGCTGAGCCGAAGTCATAAATACCAATCGCTCCTCCAGATCCCATATCACCAAATCAGCAAAGGTTTCCTAGGCGATGGATGGATGAGCCAGACAAGGTAGTAATCTCAGGCCACATGTCCTCCATACGATGAAGAGGGGCAGAGAATCCACGATGCTATCGCCATGGGCATGCGGCGATGCGATCTACCCCCATGCACCCTGTAAATTTGGATAGAAAACATGACAGGGAGATGCAGTTTTGCCACATGCAAGCCATACCTGCGGCTGTCCACGGTCTCCTCGACTCTCCTGTGCAGGCAGGCTACTGTCATGGGGCGGCAATCCTTCTCCGCCAGGCACATTTCCTCTTGGACAGTATGGATTAGGCACTTGTGAAACACATGAATGATGTGTCATGGACTCATGGCAAATCCTTTCACAGACATATGCATCCTGGCAGCACTGCGCTACTCTGGAAAAATACCCGATCACTGTTGTGCAGTCAGCTGATAGGCATTCAGGTTTGAGATGTGATCTGGTCTCACAACAGATAGTGTCATTTGATCAACGCCAGCAACTGCAAAGCCGTTTAGTGCAGCGGGGGATGTCATGCTTGACTCAATGGTGTCAGGGAGATGATGTAGAGAGCAATCCACTCAACAGTGTACATCACCAGGCAACCAGATTGTCCTCTCCTACAGGCCCAGCCAATGGATGGTCAGCCACCCCCCAGCCTGGACAGCAAACGGTTGCTTGAAGTGAAGGATCACGCTCTCTTCATGCCTTCTCCTCCCCTCCATTACAGCACTGTTCTTCCTGAGCGTGCTTGTGAATCGTTGCGATTACATAAAGCTTTATGGCTGTCCCTGGTCGTCAACTCGTTGCAGCATCCCAGTCCTTTGTCATCTCAACTCGTTGGCGAAGCAGAACACATTCGCTTTGATCCGACATGGCATGGTACTAGACATGCTTTACTGGGCCCGGGGGGGGGGCATGGTCATCGCAACCATGCTTGACATGCTCTATGCAGAGAGAGAGAGAGAGAGAGAGAGAGAGAGAGAGAGAGAGAGAGAGAGAGAGAGAGAGAGAGAGAGAGAGAG